GCTTCCAACAATCGTCATGACGGACGATGAGGATTGATTCGTACCAATCCGGATTCCAAGCTGCTCTGAAATCCTATAACACCGCGGTCATGCTGTCAGACCGATTGAGCGATTCGTACTGCTTGAATGTTACGACCCGTTTACCAGATTTGGGCATCAACAACTCTCCAAACATGAGGCAATGGTCTTGGCTGTTTCCGTTCACGATGAAAAACCTCAACCTTGTTGCGATGTTGCTCAAGAGGCGCCCCGATGTACTCCATTAGTGGATCCGTGGCATTTAGATGGGCTGATATATGTTTTTTGACATGCCTCTGATTTCCTGCCGTGCCGAACAGCTTGACCACGTAGGAGTATAGCCACGTGACTTTTCTTTGGCAACGCGGAATTCGTGACCTCAACCCAGAGCGCACCCTGAAGGATCACAACATGCGCTACCCACAGGAGGCGCAGCATAAATAGGATACGACGTGCTCGTATGTGACGTCGGCCTCGGACAAACTTGAACCTTGAATCAACACGGGTACGGAACTACGCAAGCGCGCTGATCTTCGCGCTCTCGAGTCGTCCCCTGGAGAACGACACCTTTCCAGCCCAAATCTCGAAACGCAATTGTCTTCGTGCCACTGGGGGTGATCCGGAGGATCTTTGCGTTCCTGAGCGCAGTGCCCGTTGCGAGGACATAGTATGGGTTCGATCTTCTCTGTTCGCATGAGGTCTCTGCGAGCTCATGGTGGAAACACGAACGAGCCACCGTGCCCCCCGAGAGGCGCCCAAACCGCCTCTAAGAGGCCCCCGAGAGGCTCCCCACAGCACCCTAACACATGAGGCCTCAGGCCCGCAACCCAGGCACGGTGGCGGAATGGGCCAGAAGCCACTGAGACAACGCCAACGTCTCAATATGCGCTGCTGATTCCCATCCGGCTTCGCATGATGTTCTCAGATGCGCCAAGGCAGCGCCGAGACGCACCGACGTCACTCTGATATAGCCCATTATGCTTGAGAGGGGGGCTCGCGGCAGGGGGGGCGAAGCCCTTACGGATAACTTTCTGGGCTGGGGTGCACTCCCCCGCTTATCCACGAGCGCGCCTTTTGCCCTGGGAGGGTTCGTCGTCCCTGAGCATGGTTCCTGGGGAAGAAGATTCTGGGCAGGCTGCATCCTTGTCGCCATGGCTGGATTCGGGGATTCGTCGCTACTGGCTGCATTGGTTTCCGCCCGAGTCCGAGGCGGGGTATGAAGTGTCGGCTTGCGCTCCCGAGAGGGTAATTGTGTTGTGCCTTCCCTGGCGGCCCGAGGGCCTGGCAAGGGGGGCGCCGTGTCGCTGGCTCCCGTGTGGGCCCGTGGGGATCCCCTGGGGGCCCAAGCGCACCTCGTGGTGCTCGGAGTTGGCGTCTGCGAAACGACAAGGGTGCCCCAGGAGGGCGCTTGGCGTACGGTGCTTCGTCTGCGGGCCAAGAGCTCTTGGCTGGCGTCGCCAGCTTCCACGCCCTCCCTCCCTGGTGGATATGGTGCGTCGGCTGGCGGGGTCTCGAGGTCTCGGTTGGGTCTCTCGAGCGCCCCTGGCCGGCCGCACCGAGTGCGTTGCCCAACTGTCCGTGCGGGCGCACTGGACCACCCCAGGGGGGAGGCAGCCCACCATAATCTTCCCAAATGGAAGAACACCATAGACCGGCTCTGGGATGAACACCCAGGCGGGACGCTCCCCAGAGCAGCAGGCGCTCTCGGGGATAAGTGGGGGATGTGCCCGATACCCCAAAGTGGTAATTCCCACCAGCCCTCTGGGCGTAGGTGGTTTAGAGAGTTTCCTCTTCCACCCCTCCTTCTTCCCCTTCGGGGAGGGGTTTACCCCTCCCCCTATCCCCTCCCCTGGACCTGGACAGGGGGTTCCGCGAGTCGTCAGAGCGTCCAAAACGGCCTCGGCGAGGAAGCCAAAATCAGTGGTTTTACTAGGGACCCAAGATGCTCCAGGAGGCCTCGGCGAGAATGTCAAATCATTGATTGCACTAAGGTTTTAGCCACATGTTGGCCTCTTTGGGGGAGGGGCACTGATTAAGATGACGCCAAGAGCGCCTGGGAGAGCCCAAGATGACCTCCAAGATGGCTCAAGATATCCCACGATGTCTCATAATTCTTCCTCTGTGTGCTGCCCACTTCCCTGATCGAGGCAATTCCTCTGGGCATCATTTCTGGATGGGCTGGTGGGGATTCGCGAAGCGTCAACAATTGCCAAATGGAATCGCTTTTTAGGGAGCCTTTTTTTCGGTTGGGTCTTCCAGCTGGATTCCAAATGGAGAGGGTCAGATGGAGAATCACTCTAGAACGGCGGTCCAGAAGGCTCCTGAGAGCGGGCAAAATGGAAAATCACTCGTTTCAATGTCCGACTATCTCCCTGGAACGGCTCCAAGGTGATTCTGGAATCTGAAACGGGTGGATACCCCCCAGACTCCAGACGGCTTCCAAAATACATGCGAGGCCCTCACGATGACTCAGCATGGGGCAAGGCACGAGCGGTCCACGGGAGAAGCCGCGGGCGGGCCTGCGGGGCCGCGGACTCGGCCTTTCCCTTTTCCCTTCTCCACGAAAAACCAAAAGGTCGGGGGGGGCAGAAATCGGAAACCTGTCCCGGAAGGGGAGGGCGTCGGGCCGACAGGCTAACACATACCATCTCCATTGTTGAAATGTCTTGTGCATCTAACGACCTTCTTGGAGTCCCTGCACGAGTCTCGGAAGCGTCCAGAAGGGGAAATGCGGAAACCACAACATCCTCGATGTCCTTTCGGTGTTCGATGATTTGGGGCCCTCGAAGGCTTCCTGATTTCTTCGGTGGTAACGGGGGCCTTAACTATGATCGGTTGTTCAAAAATAAGCAAGGGGTGAATTTGAAAACCGGAAATTATTGGACCTCCCTTTTTTCAAATTGCCATGCCTGGGCCGTGGGTCAGAAGTTCCCTGGATATAAGCCGTGGACTGTTGGGACGCCTCTGGGGGCATTTTGGCGGCGTCTTTGGAATCTGTCGGGGCCTCTTGGGAATCTCTTGGTGCCTCCTGGGGGCCTCCCGAGAGGGGGGCGCCTCGAAAGCCTTTGCGGGAACCTTGGGGGCATCTTGAGACAAAGCGCTCAAAAGGCTCGGGCAGAACTCCGAGCCTGGCTCATTGTTGGCGCGCGCGCTGACGGTCTAGCTCGGTTGGGCAGGTGAACTCAGGGGATCTCCATTTCTGACGGTCTTCCTCAGGGGCAGACAAGTGGGCACGAAGACGGCCCTGGAGAGTTCCAAGACAGCGTCAGAGAGTTGAACAGCAGTCCCGACAAATCTTTGGAATGTGACCCCGAATATTTGATGTGTCTCGGGGTGAATGTGAAACAACGGAATCACAGTTTCTTTTTTCCTCAAGTCAGGCCACCGATAATGCATTGCGCAGGAATCGGGGGGCCCAAGAGGCTTGCATGGGGCTCTTGGGAGGCAATTTTCGATCTCTTCGGGGCTGTTTTTGGGGCCTCGTGGGCCCTTTTCTGAGGTCTCTCAATGGTCTGGGGTTTGTTGGGGGCCTCTGAGGGGTCCTGTAGACCTCTCGGGGGTCCTTGGGGCCTCCTGCTTCCGCTTTCGGGCCCATCTTAGGCCTGTGCTGGGGCGCTCTTGGACCGTCTTCGGCGCCTCTTGGGCAATCTTGGGCCTCTCTAGGGCCGTCTTGGGCTCTCTTGGGAGCCTATTCGGTTGTCTTGGGGCGGTCTTGGGGGCCTCTTTGGCTGTATTGGAGCGTTGGAAGCGCGAAAACGAGAGAAGGCCTAAACACGATAAACGAAGAAAAGAACATCCAAGATTTTGGGCACTTCGGATCCTCTCGGGACGCCTCTCGGAGCTCTCTTGGGACCGCTCGGAGAGCTCAGGGTTAACTCTTCGGCGTTTCTGGGAGCCTGGGGAGCCGTCGGAAGGCGTCATTGGGTTGCCGAGCGGCGTCTTGTGCGGTTTTTGTTGGGGGCTCTTCGGGGGCGTCTTGGGCCGTCATGCTGCGTTTTCGGGCCTTCGGGAGCGCCCAAAGTCGCGGAGCCTGGAGTGCCCACTAGATGATCCGGAGGTGTGGGACGCTCCCAGGGGGGGGGACGGCTGGTCTTCCGCCAATGCGATCCCACCGTTCCGAGGTAGGAGGGAGGGGGCAGGCTTGAGTAGGCGAACTTGAAAAAAAAAGTATCAGTGATTCCTTTTCTCCCCACCTCACAAGTGGGGGTATTGTTTTCTCTGCGCACCCCCCGCGCAGGAACCTCACACCTCGCTCCCTCTCCTCCTCTCCCGTCGCACACTCACTCATTCACTCAATCACTCACACCATCATCATCAGTCCCACGCGCACACACTCACTCACAGTCAATCGGCACTCACTCGTCATCACACTCACTCGATCACTTTCATTCATTTCGCTCACAACTACCCATTGCAAGTGTCTCTAGACACCCCGCGGAGGTACAAGATAACACACCCTCTCCTCTTCTCTAATCGCACGCTCATTCGCTCAATCACTCACACACATCATCACTCACAGTCATTCCCTCACCCACCCACTCACACACTCACACACTCACACACAAACACACACACACGCACTGAGTCACCCACCCACTCACCCACACACTCACAGACACACTCATTATCATCGCTCACTCACGCACCCACCCACTCACCCACCTACCCGCCCACTCACTCACTCATTCACACTCATCATCATCTTTGTCGAGCCGAGGCGACTCGAGCGAAGTTCCGAGTCAACCTCTCCTTCCTCTCTTGCTGCCGCCTCCGCGGCTATGTGGGATCGAGGAGGGGGCCCCCCCTTTTGTGCAGAGAGCGCGGCAGACACGCTCGCCGGCACGGGCCGGCGCCAGATGCTCGACGGACGAGACCAGCACAACACATCGTGCACCACACATCGTCGACGTTAATCACGACATTGGTACTGCGGAGCTAGATCCACGGACAAGTTCTGGCACTCCTGAAGGGACCAGAACATCATGGAGCGGGACGACAAGAAGTCCAAGGATGCCATCCCAGAATGGGACGGTAACCCAGGGCGTTGGCGTCACTTCGAGACGGCTGTGAAGTGGTTCCCTCGCACGCTCAAGCGGCAGGAGAGGGACCTGGCGGCGAACCGGATCATTGGACGCATGCTGCAGAGCAAGACGATAGCGATCAGGACGTTTGCGACCACTCTGGATCCGGACCGATATGAGAATCCGAATGGCCACCTCCTCCTCTTGGACGACCTGAGGAGCAGCCCGCTAGAGAAGCTTCCGATCCCAGACGCAGCCCACAAGATCAAGCACTACTACAAGGATTTCAAGCGGCGCAAGGGCGAGACGGTGGGCGCGCTCTTGATCCGGGAGCAGGACTGCTACTCGGAGATGGTCCAGGCGCTGGAGCGCCTCCTCGAGGAGATGGGCGACAATGATAAGTTCAAGCAGTGCCAGGAGTGCTTCGGCTACTTCGAGCGAGGACAAGGCGCTGCTGGACGTGGACAATGGTACTGCCAGAGGTGCTGGGACACCTGGGACGGCAACCCCGACACCCCGGCGACGGCAACAGATGCCGCCCCTGCCGAGGAAGCAGAAGAAGCAGATGAATATGAACGACACTCGACGACGTCTCGCTCGCAGGGCTCTCGAACAGATCGTTTTCACCGACAAGAATCCATGGCAAGCAAGCTCAAGGTTTCGGAGGCGATTGCAGTGGGCTCCACTTTCTTCGGCCACGCTTCCGGCGTCCTGAAGGTCCTCCGCGGCTTCTTCCTGCTCGAGGCGATGGACTTCACCGAGAAGGAGAAGCAGGACGTCCGCGTGGTCACGCAGAACCGCTTGGACTTTGACGCGATCTCCAAGGCTTTGAAGGAGCGCTGGGAGGACAAGGCGCTTGTGCAGCGGGACTTCGGACCGAGGGCTATGCCTCGGTACGGCCCGGAGGCGGGCCCGCAGTCGGCCCTCACCGCCGAGTTTGATGATGTACACGGGCCTGATTGGTACGATGGCTACGCGGCGGCGGTCCAGGCGTGGGAGAACGAAGGGTACGACCACCACGAGGACGAGGACGACTACGATATCGAGGAGGAGCCGCAGCTAGCCCCAGAGCCGGAAGGATCCGAGGCCGTGGATGAGGATCTCAACCACCTCAATGAGGAGCTCGAGGCGGCCCAGGCGATGGCGGCAGAGGCGTCACGCACTCTAGTTCAAGCCAGACAAGCAGTGGCCGCCGCACATAAGGATCGAGGATTTGGCAAGCCACCATCGGGTCCAGGAGGGAAGAGCCGCCTTCCTCCGTCGTGGCCGCACCAGCAGCCCTCGAGACCGCCGTTCACGGGTCGAGGCCCGAAGGGCGGCAAGGGCGGCAAGTACCGCGACAGGGACCGCGACCAGAAGGGCAAGAATGCGAACTACCTGGAGTTTCACACGATCACGCACGGGTTCGACGAGCTCCAGGGTATGTACCAGGCAGAGCAGAACGACAGCGGCCTCGCCCCTTCTGAGGCCATGGTCGATTGCGGGGCTTCCGCGTCCGCCGGAGGCGAGCGCGCAGTCCAGGCACTGATTGCCGCCGTTGCGGCCGCGAACCCCCAGGCCAGGATCGAGATCAACCAAAATGAAAGACCGTGGTTTCGTTTCGGAGACAATAAGTGGGGCAAGGCACTGTATAAGGTTTCGGTCGCGTTCGAGCCGGGCTTCGTTTTAGGCATCTTCGCTCTCAGCCCTGGTATACCTCTCGTTTTGTTGGGAATGACTGCTCTGGAGTCGTGGCCGGCAATCGTGAATTTCCGAACCGGGGAGGCTGTGATCAGGGGCCAACTGGTGCAGCTTCGCAAGACCCCAGTCAAGGGCCATTGCATCCTCGATCTGGTGAAGCACGTTTCCGAGATCTTAAACCCGACCGAGAAAAACACCGAGGGTCTTGCAAAGGCGTTTCAGAGATGGTCTATGGCGAAGACAACATCACCACCATCAGCATCATCTCAGACAAGAACGACACCACCAGCATCATCTCGGACAAGAACGACACCATCAGCATCATCTCAAGAACGACATTATCAGCATCATCTCAGATAAGAACGACACTATCATCAGTACATGCAGCTATGACGACCACACCGCCAGTGATAACAGCAACATCACCTCCATCAACAATAACAGGAAGAGCAGCTCCATCATGGTCATCTCCTCCCCCGCCGTCTTTTGGCTCTAGAACTCGCTCAGAGCGACTTCCGACAATCCGCAAGCTGGCGTCTCAGCCAGCACGTTTTCATGGAGGGCAAGGACGAATGGGTACCTGTCGACATGGATGCCGACAAGAAGGAGGAGGGCGCGGAGGTAAAGTCACCTTCGGCGGCAGCGAGCTCCGGACCTACGACCCAGGTCAAGCGGGAGTTCGTCTTCAACGGCCAGAAGATGGAGTACGTCACCTCGGAGGGCAAGGTCAAGGAGAGAGATCCGGGCAGCACGCACCAGGGTCGCAAGAAGGAGAAGCAGATGGAGATGGACCCGGCGTTCGCGCTGCAGGCGGACCCCCGCGACCCGAGGACCACACGGGGACCGTGCGGCAAGATGCATCGCAAGTACTTCACGGTCAACAACCAGTGGGGCCAGACCAGGACATGCTATCGGTGCGGGCTGAGGCTGCTCTACATCCCGACGACGAAGGCGCCGATGACGAACCTCAACATGCAGCATCCGAAGTTGGTGGAGTCCGGCCTGGAGTTGGTGCGGCACTGCAACCTGTGGGAGACGGCCAATCACGAGCAGGTGACCGCGATGATCAACATCGCCACCTCCCTCCGGAGGCTCCCCGGGACCGAGATCCGCCACGCGCCGGACGCGCTGCTGGAGATGCTGGGGGCAGCGAACCCCAGGCGCAAGGCCCAGATGGCGGAACCAGTACCCGGGCAGGTCTGAGCCGGGTGCCGAGGCAGCTTCTGGCTGCCGGACGCCGGAGGTCGCTACTCGCAGGACTGGCCTTGGTCATGACCGTGGGCACGATCACCGAGGCGGTGGAGATCTGCTGCCATCCCAACAGCATGCTGACCGACGAGTGCACCAAGATCGGCCTCAGCATGGAGAGGATCAGCATCGAGAACGGTTACAACCTCAGCACGAAGGCGGGGTTCGAGGCTGCTGGCAAGAAGCTGGACGAGGTGATGCCGAAGCGGGCTTGGATATCGCTACCATGCACGCTATGGACTTCGCTCACGAACTTCAACTACCAGACCCCAGAGGCACGTGCACGCCTAGAGAAAGACCGACTTCGAGACCGACGACGTGTGAAGTATGGAGTTCTCCTGTTGCTAAAGATTGTTGACTACGGAGGCGAGGTCTACTTCGAGTGGCCCCACAGGTGCCAAGGCTGGAAGATTCCCGAGCTCAATTTTCTTCGTATGGAGTTGAGGCGTCGGGGCCGACACGTCTTCGAGGATCGGATCGACGGGTGCATGTACGGCCTCAGGGATTACAACACCAACGAGCTCGTCGAGAAGGGCTGGAGGATCCTGACCACCGACCCGGAGTTCTCCAAGGTCGCGACCGTGTGTGACCGTTCACACGGTCACCGAGTCATCAACGGGAAGCAGCACACCGCAGCCACCGCCTACTACCCGCAGGCGATGTGCAAGGCGATCGCTCGGCTGTGGCATGCTCAACTCCGGACACCGATCGACCTCAACATGGCCCTGGAGAACCCTGCTGTCCTAGACCTCGAGAATACCTACCTGATGGAGCGGGACACCGGGAGCATCTACGTCGCTGAGCCCACGGATCTCGAGAGGGAGCAGGTGCGCGCGATGTTGAGCAGGATCCACAAGGCTGCAGGCCACCCAGGGAACGAGCACTTGGCGTACTGGTGCAAGAAGCGGCAGTGTCCACGCTGGATCATCGAAGAAGCGATCAACCTTCGCTGCGAGGCGTGCGACCTGGTCAAGCATGGCCTCTCCCACAAGGTCAAGGCGAGCCTCGACATCCCCATGGCACCTTGGCAGGCAGCCGTCATGGACGTTTCTGACCTGACGTTCCCGGACTTGAATGTGAAGGCCCGGTTTCTCCTCATCGCAGAGGTCGCCACCGGCCTGATGTGCGGGGACATCACTGCGAAGATCGGCCTCAAGGACAAGGGCACCGATTCGTCAGCTACACTGTTCACGACGTTTGCCAGAGCCTACCTTCAACACTATCCAAAGCCAAGGTGGGTTTTCGTCGATCCTCAGACCTCTTTTGTGGGCGGCGAGTTTAAAGACAACTGCCAGTTGGCCGGCATCGGCGTCTCAGCGAAACCAGGAGGAGCACATTGGATGGCTGGCGACATCGAGCGCCGCATCTCGATCGTCAAGCAGGTGATGAGGAAGCTTCGCCTACAATATCCCAAGCTGAGTCCCGAGACCGTGTTTTACATCTCGATTGCGGCGGCCAACAACATGGACAACATCAAGGGCTACACGCCGATGCAGTGGGCTTTCGGGTTTTCTCCGACCGAGGACCCTATCTTGGCGCACAACGCAGCTACCGGCAAGTTGAAGTCCGACTTCTTCGAGATCGAGCGGGTGCGAGCGGATGCGGAGGCCACCTACCTCAAGGAGAAGGCGTCCAGGAAGATCTCAGAGCTTAAGAACTCAGCCCCACGACCTCGACATGAATATAAACGAGGCGACTGGGTCTGTGTTTGGCGGTCGTATGCCGCGACAGGAAAACGAAAGCTCTCAGGACAAGACTTCTTCACAGACGGCTTGTTCATCGGACCGGGTCGGGTTTTGTTCTCCGAGCCAGCGGTTCAGGCCGGCAACAAGGACGGCGTGATCTGGGTCATCATGGGCAACCGATGCTGGCGTTGCGCAGCTGAGCAGCTGCGGCCAGCCACGCAGTCGGAGATCATCCAGATCAACCTGAAGAAGGACGACATCCTCAACAGTCCGCTCGAGGACGTCTGGAGGCACCTCCAGGACTTTGACGACATAGCCGGGGAGCCCTACCCAACGGCAGATGATGGCATGAGGATGCTACCGCGTCAACCTCTTGAAGGCATGCCGAGGGTGATCGAGAACCCCGATGTGGCCGTGGAACCCCACGACGTCACGGAGGCAGAGGGCGACCAGGAGGTAGACGAGGACAACTCAGCACCAGAGCCACCACAGATCAAGCGAACAAGAGTGAGAGGCAAGACGCCGACTGTGTCGTGGCCACCTGTTCCGACCGAGGCTTTCCAACCGCGTTTTGGGAGATCATCTTCATCAAGAGCCTCAGCTGAAGTTGCTCACGCTGCCCTCTTCCAGGCGGCGAGCGACCACGCGGAAGCCAGCGAGATCGACATTATCAACTTCGTGCAGGATCCGAATAACGAGTCCGAGATGGACCTGATGAAGATCGAGATCGAGGCCGACCTTGAGGAGTTCTGCTTCGATGCGAGCGCGTACTTGGAGAAGCAGCTGAACCGCGTGGCCAACAACACGGTCAAGAAGGGCGTGGAGGTTTCGTTTGGCCGCCTGAGCCCCGAGGAGAAGCCACTGTTCCAAGAGGCAATGGCACGGGAGCTGGCGGAACATCTGGAAGTACCGACAGTCCGGGCTGCATCTGCTTACGCTGACTACAATCATGGAAAAGATATTCCAGCGGACAAGCTGATCAAGATGAGGTGGCTACTGACCTGGAAGCCTCTGACGCCACCTGAACCGCCGGACAAGTCGGACCCACACCCCGTGAGCACGCCGGACGGGAAGTTCAAGGCGAAGGCCCGTATCATTCTGTTGGGCTTTTCACATCCGGACCTTGTCAGTCGAGACAAGTTCGGAGATCGGGTGCTTCCTACGGCGTCGCCAACAATTTCAAGGAAAGGGAAGCTGGCACTCCTCCAGATGGCTGCTTTTCACGGCTGGACCTTCGAGCTAGCCGACGCGAAATCTGCCTTCCTGCAGGCCGGACACACTGAGGAGTGGAGGAAGCTCTACACCAAGGGCGTGAAGGAGCTTCGGCAGGCCTTGCAAATCAACGAGGAGGAGTCCATGCGAGTCCTGGCGGCGATCTACGGGATCACGAATGCGCCGTGGGTCTTCTGGAAGTATGTGGACCACAAGATCCACGAGGCAGGAGGCAAAAGTGTCCTCATCGAGCCGTGCATCTGGATCATTCAGGATCAGGACGGCACCGTGTGCGGGGTCATCGGCTCACACGTGGACGACTTCGGCATCGCGGGCGACAGCGACAACAAGTTCTACCTCGACATGAAGAACATGCTGAAGGAGATGCTGCGGTGGTCTCCATGGCGAACCACGCCGTGCATGTGGGCAGGCATGTGGATCACACAGGAGCCGTCGGGCAAGATCCATGCCAGCCAGGAGGAGTTCTGTCACCAGCTCCTCGAGATCAGGGTCGAGTCCGGCAAGTATCTCTCGAAGGATGACAAGCTCAAGCCGGAGGACGTCACCCAGTTCAGGGCGGGCCTGATGAAATGCCAGTGGAGAGCGACACAGACAGCACCGCAGTTCTCGTGCCGGGTATCACTGTTGGCTCAGCGGGTGAACGAGGCGACGTTCGGGGACCTGAAGGACACGAACGCCCTCATACGCGATGTGAAGCGGACAGCTCGTGACTCATTGGTGTTCCACAACTTCAACAGCAACTGCGGTGGTAAGCTGAAGTGGGACGACCTAGTGATTGTGACGTGGGTCGACGCAAGCAGGCTACACCAACGAGGCGGCTACATCGTGGGTTTCACGACGGCCGAGATTCTCAAGCAGAAGGAATGTGCAGTCTCTATCGCCGACTGGAGATCGTACAAGCTCAAGCGCACCGGCATCGGCACCAATGTCTGCGAGGGCCAGGCTCTGTACGACGGAGAGAACGCCGCGTACTTGATGCGCTTGCTGTGGTCAGTCATGCACGGAGTTCCAGTTACCGCGCACACCCAGGAGGAAGTGGCGCAATCTATGACCTCAGTGCTGGTGATCGACAGTCGGGGAGTTTACGACTCGGTCCACAACAAGGAGAGCTTCGGCATAGGCCTGAGCGACGCGAGGACCGGCGTGGAGGTATTGCACGTGAAGGCGAACTGCGGGCCCGAGAAGAATCAGCACCTGGTCTGGGTGCCCTCGGACCTCAACCTCACCGACGGCCTCACGAAGGACAGTCCTGAGGCTAGGAAGCCTCTGGCGCTGTGGCTTGCGCGGCGCACCTGGATCATCAGGTACGACGAGGATTTCATGTCAGCCAGGAAACGACAGCGAGCTAACAGACTCGCTCAGGACAAGCCGCAGCCGACTACTGACGCTGAAGCCGAGGCCGCCGACGCTTTAGCTTTTCTCGACCTATCTTGAGGGTAGTGTCGGGCTCATTCTCAGAACCCCTTTTCCACGTTTGTACTGTGCAGGGCCCTCCTTTGATCCAGTTCGGTCGGAACGGTTGAGAAGGATTTTAGGCTCATGTCGAGCCGAGGCGACTCGAGCGAAGTTCCGAGTCAACCTCTCCTTCCTCTCTTGCTGCCGCCTCCGCGGCTATGTGGGATCGAGGAGGGGGCCCCCCCTTTTGTGCAGAGAGCGCGGCAGACACGCTCGCCGGCACGGGCCGGCGCCAGATGCTCGACGGACGAGACCAGCACAACACATCGTGCACCACACATCGTCGACGTTAATCACGACAATCTTCATCATCATCATCATCATCATCATCACCACCACCATCATCATCATCATCAGCATCAGCATCAACATCATCATCACCATCATCATTGTCATCATCGCCATCGTCATCATCATCATCATGCTCATCATCATCATCAGCAGCATAACCATCATCATCATCTTCACATACTCACTCACTCACTCATCTCAGGCGGGAGCTTCGTCTGTGTGAATTGCGAGGACGTCTCAGGCGGGAACCCTCTCCCTATGCGGCCCGCACTTGATGTTGGTAATCCGAGCGGGTCATCGGCCTCCTGCAGCTGTCGTCAATTATGGGCTCCTGAGGCCTGAATTTGGAGGACGTCTCAAACGGGAACCTCGTCTGTGAGTGAATTGCGCGGAAGTGTCAAGCGAAAGGCCCCTCCCTATGGGGCCCGCAGCTCATATGAGTAATCCGAGCGGGGCATCGGCCTCGTGCATCTGTCATCACTTTTGGGCTCCTCAGGCCTGAATGTGGAAGAGGTCTCAGGCGGGAGCCTCGTCTGTGAGTGAATTGCGAGGAATACTCAAGCGAAAACCCCCTCCCTATAGGTCCTGCGCTCCACGTTAGTAATCCGAGCGTGTCATCGGCCTCCTGCGACTGTCGTCACTTTTGGGTTCCTGGGGCCTGAATTTGAAGGAAGTCTCAGGCGGGGGCCTCGTCTTTGATTGAATTGCGAGGGCGTCTCATGCGAAAGCTCCTTTGCTATGGGGCCCGCACCTCATGTTGGTAATCCGAGCGGGTCTTCGGCCTCCTGCAACTGTCATGACTTTTGGGATCATGAGGCCTGAATTTGAAGGAAGTCTCAAGCCAGAACCTCGTCTGAAATTGAATTGCGACGACATCTCCGGCGAACATCCCTCCCTATGGGCCCGCAGCTCATACGAGTAATCCAAGCGGGTCATCGGCCTCCTGCGACTGTCGTCAGTTTTGGGCCCCTGAAGCTTGGAAACGAAGAAAATCCGCCGATCCGGCGTGTGAGTTTCAAGGAGTCTCAGCTACAGCCTCGAGGCTGAGCCTCAGCCTCTGGGGGGGTTGCCGGGGTGGCTCTGCCGGGTAAAGGGGGGCGGAGGGGGGGGGGGGTGCGAGTTTCCGGCGGATGCGTTTTTTGACACCCCTCACAAGGATCGTGGCCTCCGAGGGGGTTCCGAACTCGAGTACCACCCCTCCCGCACCAAGAGGTTCCGAGGAGGCCTCCAAGAGGCCCCAAAGGGCGCAGAAGAGGCCCCCAAGAAGCCCCAAGAGGCTCCCAAGAGACCCCCAAGAGACCTCTAGTGGCCCCAAGAGGCCCAAGAGGCCCCCAAGAAGCCCCAAGAGGCGCCCAAGAGGCCCCCAGAAGTCCCAGCCAACCACGAGATCCCAACCAGCATCCATGAGGCCTCTGACCCACCACCCACGCACGGTGGACGGCCACTGGATAAATGCTGAGTGAGAGGAGGGGAGGGAAAAAGAGAGGAGGGACGAGGGCGAAGAAGGATCACATCAGTCGGAGCGCCCCGGATCGGCGGCACTGGCCGAAGGCCACTACAATATGAAACGTGAGCCTCGTATGTGAATGAATTGCGAGGGCGTCTCAAGCAGAAACCCCCTCCCGATGTGGTTCGCAACTCATATGAATCCAAGCGGGTCATAGGCCTCCTGCAGCTGTCGTCGCTTTGGGTCTCCTGAAGCCTGAATACGGAGGAAGTCTCAACGTCTGTGAGTGAATTGCCAAGAAGTGTCAAGCGAAAGGCCCCTCCATATGGGGCCCGCGCTTCATGGTCGAATCCGAAGCGGCTTATCGGCCTCCTGTAACTGTCATCACTTTTGGGATCCTGAGGCTTGGGTATGGGGAAAATCTGAAGCGGGAGCCCCGTTTGTAAATGAAAGGCGGGAGCCCCCTCTCTATGTAGCCCGCACGTCACGTGCTTTGTCCGGGTCGTCCTCCGGCGCGCGCGTCCTCTGGGTCGTCCTCCGGCGCGCGTTTCCTTTTGGACGCACGTCGTGCATTTCCTGTAGGTTGTGTTCCGCGCGCGGAAAAGGAGGAGGAGGAGGAGGAGGAAAAGGAAGAGGAGGAAAAGGAGGAAGAGGAGGAGACGGAGAAGGAGGGGGAGGAGGAGGAGGAAGGGGAAGATGCAGGACGAGAAAAAAAAGAGGAAGAAAAGGAAAAGGCACAGGTGGAATAGGAGGACAACGAAGAGGAGGAGGAGGAGGAGGAGGAGGAGGAGGAGGACGAGGAGGAGGATGCAGGACGAGCAAGAAAAGAAGAAAATGAGGAGGAGGAGCCGATCTCCCTCGAATTGGGCCCCTGAACCTGGGGGGCCGCGGCGAACCTCCCTCCCAGACGTCTGACATGGGCGGGTTGTCTTCTTCGGTCCCAGATACTTTCTTTCGTGTCACCTTTCGGGCTTCCTGAGCCCATCTCCCCTCTCCCATGCCCCTGGCGACTGCTACAACACTGCCCAGCTGCGGCCCGACAACACCTTTTGCAGTGCCGAGGCGCTTCCCAGGCGAGGCTGCCGTGCCGGCGCCCCCCGCCGAAGCGGCTCCTGCGGCAGACAAAGAAGGCCGGCGCGCAACGGGGCCGGCCCGCGGCCCGGCACTCGCGGCAGCACGGCCCCGCTCCTCCAGCGCCGCCGCCCCTCGGCCGCCGCCGTCGCCAGGCCCGGCGGCGTCCCCGGCTGCCTCGTCTGGCAGTCCGCCGTCGCCGCCGCGGCGCGTCGGCTGCGGGGCGTCGCAGATGACGCAGGAGTTGCAGCTCTCCTCGTTCACGAACGTGCACACTTGGCAGGGCCTGGGGAACCACAGAAAGGTACCGCGGTGCTGGGGCGCGGTCTTACTAGGAATGTCCGAAGGGGGTGGTAGAATGGGGTGCGGTGCCACTGCTGACCATGGTGATGATGTCTATGATAGTCATAAGCGGGTTGTATCCCGATTTCAACAACATGTTTGTGTCGACCGCTTCGAACCATCTTGCCCCTCATTCTTCCAGACATATCGTCCTAACTTTCCGCCGTTTTTGTTTATATAATGTGCGAAATTCTTGATATCGAGTAAAGTTGCCCGCGCTATTCGAAAAAATTGTTGGGGGCCATGCACTTGTACAGAGACATTCCAAGACACTGCTGTCGCCATTGCGATCAGTATGGCCATGGCACCCACGATCATCATCACAATTCACCAGCATCATCATCATCGCCAACATCATCATCACCATCATCACCGTCATCCTCATCACCAGCATGAGCAGCATCATACTCCTCATCCTCATCCTCGTCCTCATCATCATGAACACTCCTCGCGCCGCCGCTTGTCCCGCTGTTCCTGCGCGAATCCCAACTTTCCTGAATCGTGAGTCGCATCTCCATGCCGACGCAGGCTGGCAGGGCGCCGTGGATGTCCCCCGTTTTGCGCGCGCTCGGGACGTTCAGGAGGCGCCGGCCCGCGCCGGGATCGGCCTGAATCGCGCTGCGCTCATCCGCGGCCTGCGAAACAACGAAAGGCGCGCCCAGACACCGCGCGTCGCGACGAGCGCGCGCGTTGATCCACCTCGCCAGCGTCTCCCAATAGATGCCCGTGCCGTAGCCGACCCGGAAATTCTCGAGCTGGCACCGAGGGCCCAGGGCGCCGCGGGTCGTTTCCCAGGCGGGCCCTGGCGCGTGCAGCCCTATAACGCGATCAGAAGGCCATTGGGCTCGAAGCGCTTCGCGCCTTTCAGCTCGAAGACGCAGGGGATCTGAGAGAAGACCTCGATGGCGTGCTGAATCGCCGCCGTCGGCGGCTCCGCGTAAGTACTTGTGGGGCCTGTCACCCAGGAGCTCGTTCGCGTCCGTCAGGAGGCCGACGCTGCCCGTGGGCTTCATTCAGCTGCATGAAAATCGCCCGGGTGCATCGCGATGGGGGCGCGCGAAGTGGAGGCGCGGCCGCGTGCGCGTGGACTCCTGCACGTCGCGCGCGCCGCTGCGTCCGCGGCGCGCGCGATGGTCCAGCGCGGCCGCCGCCCGCCTGATAAAATTTCAATTTCCAAGCCTCAGGGGCCCAAAAGTGATGACAATCCCAAGATTCCAATGACCCGCTCGGATTATATATATATATATATATATATATATATATATATATATATATATCATGACCAGCGGGCCTCATAGGGAGAGGGCTCCAGCCTGAGACTTCCTCGCAATTCACTCGCAGACCAAGTTCCCAGCGTGTGAGTTTCAAGGGGTCTCAGCTACAGCCTCGAGGCTGAGCCTCAGCCTCTGGGGGGGTTGCCGGGGTGGCTCTGCCGGGGAAGGGGGTGGGGGGGTGGGGGGGGGGGTGCGAGTTTCCGGCGGATGCGTTTTTTGACACCCCTCACAAGGATCGTGGCCTCCGAGGGGGTTCCGAACTCGAGTACCACCCCTCCCGCACCAAGAGGCTCCGAGGAGGCCTCCAAGAGGCCCCAAGGGGCGCAGAAGAGGCCCCCAAGAAGCCACAAGAGGCTCCCAAGAGACCCCCAAGAGGCCCTCTAGTGGCCCCAAGAGGCCCAAGAGGCCCCCAAGAAACCCCACGAGGCGCCCAAGAGGCCCCACAAGTCCCAGCCAACCACGAGATCCCAACCAGCATCCATGAGGCCTCTGACCCACCATCCACGCACGGTGGCGGGATAGGCCGACGGCCACTGGATAAATGCTGAGTGAGA